TCTGAACATAGGTGTATTGTTATATATAAATTATATGAATAAATTCAGTTTCTTTTTCATGTTAAGTCCATACATGCTCAAACATGTGTCTGTGAAACTGAAACACATTTAGGGCCTCACTGAAGTGGGCCTTCTTCCATGGGGCTGCATGTGTTTGTGTGAGTGTGTTATCACCATCGACTCCGGGTCTCGTACTAATGAATGGGTCCCAGGAGGACCGTCTCCTGATTGCTGTGATAGCCTGTGATTGGCTGTCACAGTGATCATTAAGTCCTGGCTCACACTACTGTGGGTGGCTCCTGCTGTGGGTCCACATCCGTTCCGGCAGCCGCGACCATCTACACAGGAAACTCAATCCTAATGACACCTGCAAGAACTAGAAATTGCAGCAGCCGATGCCATACTGGGAATTGCATTGCACATGAGGCTTCCATGCGAGCTGTGATTTTAAAAATGATGCAGGGACCTTTTTACCTGTGGTTTCAGGAGCACAGCAGCCCATTCGAATGAGCCGGCAGTAGTGTGAACCAGGCCAAACTGTATAGCCTGCCCCTGTACTATTTCTCCTTTTGAATGGCGTAAATAATACATTGCAGCTGTGTCTCCTTGCTAGAGGAGAAAATTGTAGCCAAAATAGTATCTGTTAAAAAAAAAAAAAAAAAAAAAAAAGAAAGTCAGATCAGGGATTGATCTACTGTAGGTCAGTGTCACAGTATCAGGATTGAGGTCAGTAGTCCTTTAAAAAAAAAAAAAAAAGCTAATTTGCGCTATTGTTTCTAAAGCTGGCCATACACATGTAGATTTTCAGCTGAGAATATTTGTAAGAAAAGTCATACGAAAATTCTTTCAACATTTGGTGAATGGACGAATGTAATTCGAAATTGTCTTTTGCTGTTAACATTCGACTTTAAAATGAATGTAATTTCTGAATGATAACCACATACACTGGTCGAAAATTAGTTTGGTCGAGAAAAGTTTTCCTTCCTGCCCCTTCAAACTTTCAAGTCACTGCTGTCAAAAATGATCATCGATTTGACCCCCACTAATGATTAGAAAAATCAAACGAATATTCTTGAAACTAAAATTTCCAAACGGAAATCTATACGTGTATGGCCAACTGAAGCCCTACTATAACTATAAACCACAAATATACACGTGTGGTGTCACTACAAGCGTCAGAAGTAGGAGAATTTATTTTAGGTTCTTTGGTGGTGAGTCATGGCAATTGCAAGAAATATACAGCTAATTGTTAATAAATAAATAAAACACATTATGTGTGTGTGTGTGTGTGTGTATGTATGTGTATGTGTGTATGTATATATATATATATATATATATATATATATATATATATATATATATATATATATATATATATATATATTTTTTAATTATTTTTTTTTTTTACAAGCTTTCCTTTGATATTAACCCCTTACTGTCCACCCTATAGCAGAACTACTGGGTGCATGGGTGTGCAAAATCAGGTATATACAGTGGGGCAAAAAAGTATTTAGTCAGCCACCAATTGTGCAAGTTCTCCCAATTAAAAAGATGAGAGAGGCCTGTAATTGGCATCATAGGTAGACCTCAACTATGAGAGACAAAATGAGAAAAAAAAATCCAGACAATCACATTGGCTGATTTGGAAAGAATTGATTTGCAAATTAGGGTGGAAAATAAGTATTTGGTCACCTACAAACAAGCAAAATTTCTGGCTCTCACAGACCTGTACCTTCTTCTTTAAGAGGCTCCTCTGTCCTGCACTCATTACCTGTATCAATGGCACCTGTTTGAACTTGTTATCAGTATAAAAGACACCTGTCCACAACCTCAAACAGTCACACTCCAAACTCCACTATGGTGAAGAACAAAGAGCTGTCGAAGGACACCAGAAACAAAATTGTAGACCTGCACCAGGCTGGGAAGACTGAATCTGCAATAGGAAAGCAGCTTGGTGTGAACAAATCAACTGTGGAAGCAATAATTAGAAAATGGAAGACATACAAGACCACTGACAATCTCCCTTGATCTGGGGCTCCACGCAAGATCTCACCCCGTGGGGTCAAAAATGATCACAAGAACGGTGAGCAAAAATCCCAGGACCACACGGGGGGACCTAGTGAATGACCTGCAGAGAGCTGGGACCAACGTAACAAAGGCTACCATCAGTAACACACTACACTGCCAGGGACTCAGATCCTGCAATGCCAGACGTGTCCCCCTGCTTAAGCCAGTACATGTCCGGGCCTGTCTGAAGTTTGCCAGAGAGCATTTGGATGATCCAGAAGAGGATTGGGAGAATGTCATATGGTCAGATGAAACCAAAATAGAACTGTTTGGTAGAAACACAACTCGTCATGTTTGGAGGAGAGAGAATGCTGAGTTGCATCCAAAGAACACCATACCTACTGTGATGCATGGGGGTGGCAACATCATGCTTTGGGGCTGTTTCTCCGCAAAGGGACCAGGATGACTGATCCATGTACAGGAAAGAATGAATGGGGCCATGTATCATGAGATTTTGAGTGCAAACCTCCTTCCATCAGCAAGGGCATTGAAGATGAAACGTGGCTGGGTCTTCCAACATGACAATGATCCCAAACATACCGCCCGGGCAACGAAGGAGTGGCTTCGTAAGAAGCATTTCAAGGTCCTGGAGTGGCCTAGCCAGTCTCCAGATCTCAACCCCATAGAAAACCTTTGGAAGGAGTTGAAAGTCCGTGTTGCCCAGCGACAGCCCCAAAACATCACTGATCTAGAGGAGATCTGCATGGAGGAATGGGCCAACATACCAGCAACAGTGTGTGCCAACCTTGTGAAGACTTACAGGAAACGTATGACCTCTGTCATTGCCAACAAAGGATATATAACAAAGTATTGAGATGAACTTTTGATATTGACCAAATACTTATTTTCCACCATAATTTGCAAATAAATTCTTTCCAAATCAGCCAATGTGATTGTCTGGATTTTTTTTTCTCATTTTGTCTCTCATAGTTGAGGTCTACCTATGATGCCAATTACAGGCCTCTCTCATCTTTTTAAGTGGGAGAACTTGCACAATTGGTGGCTGACTAAATACTTTTTGCCCCACTGTATACGTGATTTTCCATTTCCGGGTAGGGGGCACACACGAGCCCTACCCGCGCCACCATTTGTGGCCGCGTTTGTCAATCACCGGGCCCCGGCCGGTAATTACTGACCGGCGCCCCGGTGATTTCCGACTATCACCAAGAGGGAGGAGGACTGTTTTGTTTACTAACAGTCCTCCTGCCTCTCCGCTCAGGCACACTGCATCCAGAGCAGTGTGATAACAGCGAAACGCACACATCCCACCCTCTAGTAAAACATTCCCAGCACACAGTTAACCCTTTGCTCGCCCCTCATTGTTAACCCCTTCCTGCCCAGTGCCATTAGTACAGTGTCCAGTGTTTTTTTTTTTTCTTTTTTTAGCACTGATCACTGTATTGGTGTCACTGGGGATGTCAGGGACACCAAGTCAGTTCCCCCCAGTGTCAGAATGTCCTGCTATAAGTTGCTGATTGCCGCCATTACTAGTAAAAATAAAAAAAAAAAATAAAAAAAAATTCCCAGTATCTATACCGCCTTTTGTAAACGCTATGACTTTCACTAAACCAATTAATTTACACTTATTGGGATTTTTTTGGCAAAGACATGTCGCAGAATACATTTTGGCCTAAATTTATGATGACATTTTTTTTTTTTCAATTTCTTTACTGGGCATGTCTTATAGCAAAAAGTCAAAATATTGTTTTTTTTCTCAAAATTGTCAGGTTTTTTTTCATAGCGCAAAAAATAAAAACAGCACACAGGCGATCAAATACCACCAAAAGAAAGCTCAAATTGTAGGGAAAAAAAGGACTTAAATTTTTTGGGTGCAGCGTTGCATGAGCATGCAAATGTCAGTTAAAGTAACGCAGAGCCGTAACGCAAAAAATGTCCTGGTCAGGAAGGGGGGTAAATCCTCAGGAGGGCAAGTGGTTAAAAAAAAAAAAGATAGTAATTAAAAATAAATAAATAAAAAGATATCCATAAATATTTACCACCCAATGAAAGTCCAATCTGTCCTGGTATAGTTCACCTGGATACACTGAATAGTTGCAATGATAAGTACAGTTTTACAAACGCACGGCAAAGTTTCAAGCATCAGGATTTGTTTGGACCTTCGCTTTAAGGGGTTAATCAAGGATTTCTGGCTTTGTGTTCCATGTTTTGTTTTTTGTTCCCTGTCTTATGTTACCTGTAGAAATTAATTATGACAGGGAATGGCCTCCGGAAGGATTCAGCAGCAAACAAGTGTTACACTTCACTCCTGAAACACCAACATGCTGACACATGCTTCATTCATTCTTGTTTTTTATGTGTAGACAAATATGTAAAGCAAAAGTGGAAGAAGATCTAAAATATGCTGCTTGTATGTTTATTAGAATGTATGTCTAACCAAAACTTGTTTTTTGGTTTTGGATAGAGAGGGAAAGGATTCAAACGTCTATTTGGGGTTTGATTAGTGAGATTTCCCCCCACTTCCTGTCTGGGAAAACAGTCAGCAGGACAGTGAGGGGAACTCTCCAACAGCAGCGCAGACAGAATAGAAATTATTTTCTTTAGTAGGGGAGGGGTAGACACCCTGTTATTTCTTTCCATGCTCCCCCCCCCCCCCCGTTTCCTATCTAGCCAGAAGCAATCCAGGTTGGTCCAATGTTGCTCCTAACCCCGTAACCATCCAGTCTGGCTGATACCACAGAACATCAAAAAGGGAAGGTGGATGACCACACATTGATGAAATTTATTGCAAAATCAAAACATCAAAAAGTCCAAATACCCCAGCACACAAAGAGAGCAAGTGTTGGCGTGTTTCATGCCAATGGGCGCTTAAAGTGTTCCTAAACCCTAGACCCTGCATTCACTATATCTGGTTTCCCCGGACCCTGCATTCACTATATCTGGTCTCCATGGACCCTGTATTCACTATATCTGGTCTCCTTGGACCCTCCATTCACTATATCCGGTCTCCCCGGACCCTGCATTCACTATATCTGGTCTCCCTAGACCCTGCATTCACTATATCTGGTCTCCCTGGACCCTGCATTCACTATATCTGGTCTCCCTGGACCCTGCATTCACTATATCTGGTCTCCCCGGACCCAGCATTCACTATATCTGGTCTCCCCGGACCCTGCATTCACTATATCTGGTCTCCTTGGACCCTGCATTCACTATATCTGGTCTCCCTACCCTGCATTCACTATATCTGGTCTCCCTGGACCCAGCATTCACTATGTCTGGTCTCCCCGGACCCAGCATTCACTATATCTGGTCTCCCCGGACCCTGCATTCACTATATCTGGTCTCAATGGGACCCTGCATTTACTATATCTGGTCTCCCCAGACCCTGCATTCACTATATCTGGTCTCCCTGGACCCAGCATTCACTATATCTGGTCTCTCCCGACCCAGCATTCACTATATCTGGTCTCTCCCGACCCTGCATTCACTATATCTGGTCTCCCGGACCCTGCACTCACTATATCTGGTCTCCCCGGACCCTGCATTCACTATATTTGGTCTCCCCGGGACCCTGCATTCACTATATTTGGTCTCCCCGGACCCTGCATTCACTATATTTGGTCTCCCCGGACCCTGCATTCACTATATCTGGTCTCCCCCCGGACCCAGCATTCACTATATCTGGTCTCCTCGGACCCTGCATTCACTATATTTGGTCTCCCCGGACCCTGCATTCACTATATCTGGTCTCGCAGGACCGTGCATTCACTATATCTGGTCTTCCACAGTACACACAACATGGAAATGCAATTATTTTAGTAAATAAAAACTGTTAAATACCTTTCCTCATCAGCAGTTAGAGCAGTCTTGTGACTTCCGCAGAGCACTGGTTAAAGCTTGTAGGAGGCGTTTTCTTTCTCCTCTAGGAGGATGCAGAACCCCTGACCCTCTGTCTGGACAGTGCTGATTGACCCTGTGCTGATCTCCCAAGGAAAAAAAAAAAAAGACCTAACTAGCAATACACACTAAACTGAGTATTTGCAGAAGGGCTACGGGTTCAGTCTGTCTTATCAGCGTGGACATTTGAACAAGAAGAGGGGCAGAGAAGACAGTATCAAACAGCCTTTTTACACAATGCAGAGGGTTAACCCCTTAGGCTCCACAGTGAGTATAACAAGCATGCTTTACTGCATATACAGACTGATTTTACTGTTGTGGGTGTAGTAACACTTTAATCATAACACATTGTACACACAGGCTCTGCCCTTTAAATAATCAATCAACACAAATCGATACAGCAGTACATATCCAAATCATTTCATAAATTGTGCTTGAGTTCACAACTGTTTATATTTAGTGTCTGTGGTAATGAAGTGTGCTGTGCAATTCTTCTTCCAACAATCACAATGAGCCCTGGTTCACACTAATATGGTGCGGAATTCGCAGCGTTTTCAGTGCCAATTCCTCACCGCATCAGAATCGCACCCCATTCATGCGAACCGCTGATGGTGTGTACGTTAACAACACCCCAAAAGCAGTTCGCAAAATGCGGTGCGATGTGAAGAATCGGATTGCATAGGTGTGAGTATCCATGTGATCCAATTCTAGTGTGGACCCAAAAAAGGGTCCTGCACATTTTTGGTGTGGTGTGATTAGAGCCATACAAAACGTATGACTCCAATCGCACCGCACACAAATTGCATGTGATTTGCGCAGGAATGCAGAGCGGTTCCTGTACGAATCACATGGGATTTACCGCACCGCATATATGTGAACCCAGGCTGAATGCTCTCTGTGCTCCACACTCTGTGCCCCACACTCTGTGCCATCCTCCACCTCCACACCAGAAAACTCACCAGATTTCCATGACCCCCTAGCATCCAGTGGGTCATTAAATGCTTTTCTCCCCAAGGGACACCAGCCATGGCCACCTCCACTCCTTTGCTTATCTCATATCATAAGTATCATAGAGAAGAAGCAAGAAGACCAATATAGTGTATAACCATTTTATAAAATGTGTCCATTAAAATCACATAAATATTCTCTCACATTATGGGGTCCATATCCTGCACACAGGTGTGTTATCTTTTGGGACACCGCACCGCTATTTTCTGTGAAAGCCCAGCTCCCGTTTACCAACCTGGCTTCCAGGTGTACCATGTCACTTCCAGGAGTACTTTGTGGTATGACGTCACTTCCTGTTTCACTAACCGACGCATTTTGTTCTGACGTCCTCAGGAGGATTAAGCACTTTGTGTGAAACTCAGCAACACTTGCTCTCTTAAAGTGCTGGTTTATTTGTACTTTTTGAAGTTTTGAGTTTGCAATAAATAATATTTTATTGGCATCAATATGTGGTCATCTGCCTTCTATTTTTGATATTCCTGTGTAGTCAAATTGTTGCCAGCAGGACAGGAAGTGAAGGCAAATCTCTCAAATGAAGCCCTGGCTATTGGTAAAAACCCAGACGTTCTGATCCTTTCCCAACCTACCAGGGGCGGACTGACCATTTGGAAACTCGGGCACTACCCGAGGGTCCGGGGTCAGTAGGGGGCCCCATGAGATGCCCCTGGTACCTTTTTCATAGGCTTTTTTGAGTTTGGGCAAGGACACAGGGGCCCCATGATCCCCTATTGCCCGGGGTCCCCATGAGTTGTCAGTCCGCCCCTGCACCCTACTAAAATGTTTGGTTTGGCATACATTTTAAATGTAGATCAAATACCTCATTCTGTCTTCAGTCACATACGCACCACACCCACACCTGATTTGTATAGGACTTTAGAACAGAATTTAGACTTAATTCTGGGGTCCTGCAGACCCACCACATGGGCTGACCCCAGGTGTTGGAATGCTTCCTATATCAGACCTCCAACCGGCATGACATTTAACCCCAATTCCTGTTTCTGGTCATATTGTAAGTATGCTGCTGCTCCTTCATTATTCAAGTACAGGATGGGGCGGTCCTGACCACGCTGTATTGCTTTAACTGCAGCAGAGAAAAGTGTGGTCAGATCATGGCTGTGCTGCTTGATAGGGGTGTCTAGATTAAATAAACAGTCTGACCAAAATTATGGATTTTTTTTCTTGCTATATCAGAGCTAGGAATTTAGATGCTTGCTTTTACTTCCACTTAATTAAACAATCTTACGTTCTCTGACCTTTTTCAATTTCTCTTTGCTGTTTCTCAGTGCTGGGACTTGTAGTTGCATAGCAGCTGGTGAACTCTGGGCAGACCTGTGTTCCTGCCATGGTGAAGTGTGGTCTGCTTGTCTTCTCTTCACTAAATAACAAGTTTTTCCAGGCTGAGCGTGCCTGGTGTGTGCTGGCTGCGTTGCTGGAGGCATATGGACGCAGTCTCCCACTTCATTGGCACGGAGGCTGTTGCTGCTAAAATAATGATGTCTGACAGGAGCAGACATGGGAACTTGCAAGGTTTAGCTGTGGCCATCGCACGCAATGACATGTTGTTATCCATTGAGATCAATCACGATGTAGATGATGCTGGGCAGATACATGAGTGACGGTTCTGATCTCTAGCGTCTTATAATTCCCAACTAGGCTTCTAGGGTTGGATTTGCATCTTTGGATCCTGTAGGCACACTACCTTTGGTGCCCAGAGTAATTCCTATAATGTAAATAAATTGATAGCAGATGATAGAATATCTGCTTATAATGGGGGGGCACGTCTATTAAAACTTTGCAGCAGTATAATTTGTTGGTGGTGGGTAACTTTGACTCTTTTTATTTTATTTTCTTTTGAAAGCTGCTTTAAAATGGTTAAATGTTTCCATGTATGGCCAGCATTAGGCTGTGTTCTGTGTGTGTGCTTTACACTGTAAGCACACTGCTTTGTATGCAGAGCCATAGAAGGCAGTGTGCTGGAGCTGACAGGGGAGAGATCTGTGTTGTTTATACACAGGTCTCTCCCCCGTCGGTAATACTTGGCGATCGCCGGGTGCCGCCGGGGAATGACTGGATGGGACCCGGTGATTGATAGCCGAGGCCGCGAATGATGGAGCAGTAGGGTGGGCGCGTGCCCCTGTCCGGGAACTGCAAAATCACGTGTATATATACAGTGGGGATCGAAAGTTTGGGCACCCCAGCTAAAAATTTGTATTAATGTGCATAAAGAAGCCAAGGAAAGATGGAAGAATCTCCAAAAGGCATCAAATTACAGATTAGACATTCTTATAATATGTCAAGAAAAGTTAGATTTTATTTTCATCATTTACACTTTCAAAATAACAGAAAACAAAAAAATGGCGTCTCAAAAAGTTTGGGCACCCTGCAGAATTAATATCTTGTACTGCCCCCTTTGGCAAGTATCACAGCTTGTAAATGCTTTTTGTAGCCAGCCAAGAGTCTTTCAATTCTTGTTTGAGGTATCTTTGCCCATTCTTCCTTACAAAAGTCTTCCAGTTCTTTGAGATTTCTGGGCTGTCTGTCACGCACTGCTCTTTTAAGGTGTATCCATAGATTTTCAATTATGTTGAGGTCAGGAGATTGTGAAGGCCATGGCAAAACCTTCAGTTTACGCCTCTTGATGTAATCCCCCGTGGATTTCGAGGTGTGTTTAGGATCATTATCCATTTGTAGAAGCCATCCTCTCTTTAACTTCAGCATTTTCACAGATGGCATCAAGTTACCATCCAAAATTTGCTGAAATTTTATTGAATCCATTTTTTCTTCTACTCGTGAGATGTTCCCTGTGCCACTGGCTGCAACACAACCCCAAAGCATGATTGATCCAACCCCATGCTTAACAGCAGGACAGAGGTTCTTTTCATTAAATTCTGTGCCCCTTCTTCTCCAAACGTACCTTTGCTCATTCCGGCCAAAAAGTTCAATTTTAACCTCATCGGTCCACAGAACTTGTTTCCAAAATGCATCAGGCTTGTCTATATGTTCATTTGCAAAGTTCAAACGATGATTTTTGTGGTGAGGACGTAGAAGAGGTTTTCTTCTGATGACTCTTCCATGAAGACCATATTTGTACAAGTATCTCTTTTTATAGTGGAATAGTGTACCACAACTCCAGTGTCTGCCAGATCTTTCTGGAGGGATCGTGCAGTCAAACGTGGGTTTTGAATTGTTTTTCTCACAATCTTGCGAGCTGTTCTGTCTGATATTTTTCTTGGTCTTCCAGATCTTGCTTTAACTTCCACTGTTCCTGATGACTGCCATTTCTTAATTACATTCTGAACAGAGGATATTGACATCTGAAAACGCTTTGCTATCTTCTTATAGCCTTCTCCAGCTTTGTGAGCGTCAACTATTTTCAGTTTCCGTTTTCTAGACAACTGCTTAGAAGAACCCATGGTGCTGATTGTTGGGGCAAGGTCAGATGAGTCTGGGCATTTAAAACCTTGAGATTGACATCACCTGGTCTTTCCAGATGATGATTGAGAACAATCCATGACACTGGCAGGTCTCAGCTTTGCAAAGGGGGCAGTGCATTCTATAAATTCTGCAGGGTGCCCAAACTTTTGCAGACACCATTTTTTTGTTTTCTGTTATTTTGAAAGTGTAAATGATGGAAATAAAATCTAACTTTTGTTGACATATTATAAGAATGTCTAATCTGTAATTTGATGCCTTTTGGAGATGTTTCCATCTTTCCTTGGCTTCTTTATGCGCATTAATACAAATTTTTAGCTG